CTGGGAAAAGGCAGTCCTTCAAATAATCTGGCCCCAAGCCATGAAGGGCTTTAAAGGTGACAACCAACACTATTTGTGATTGGCTCTGTGTCAGTATGATTGCATGTGGCATCACTATTGAAGAATGGGGTCTATTAATTTTCAACACAGCATGGTTCAGGAGGAATCATTGTGAATGCCCTCTGTTGCTAAAGATCTGGATCTTGGAGGCAGATGGTTTCCCACTGATGAGAACTCTTGCCTCATCCTGTCTCTTAGGTCCTTAGCAATTCCTCCTCCTCACTGAGATTAAGGAACCACCACATCTTTTCACCAGTTTTTTTAAAGTGAGTAAACCCCTCAAGTGGGTCTGGCTATTTAAAGAGATAAATGCTGTGCAAAATTAGCATGGAGGGGCAGGGGGGTGGCTGGCTGCTGATTTTTGCCCTTCCATACTGATCAACAAGAAAGCATGCTGGTCAACACATGAGAAGTTCTCACGTTGTAAGGATAGTTTCCATGAGAATAACTATAGAACCTTGCAAATTGCTTTAGGAAAGTTTGGGGCGTGAAAAGAGTGGCTGTGTGAAAGCACAGTAATTCATCCAGGAATAGACCATTATCAACGTAGTAGCATTTACTCACACCAATATATTCCAGGAACCACAGTTTGGGGGTTTTACTATGGAAAAAAGCAGCATTATTTTTCTGTACACTAATAGGAAAAATGTCCAAAGGAGCAATGTGTTTATTCTGATGCTTGCAAGCTGAATATATTGGCTCCTGTAGCAATTTCAAAGCCTGTTTTTCTAGAATCCAACTGCACCGTGGCAAGAATTGGAAGAGAAGCTGGGTGAAGCCTCACTAATGTGCTCCAGATGAAGAAGTCAGGGAAATGTACTGGATGACATATGGCTGTCTGCTTTTCCTTTGTGGTTTCCACATATTCCAGCAAGCACTGGATTCATGCTGTAGAAACTGTTATTCATGTACTATTTGGGGGAGTGTACAATATTGTTTTTTTAGGGCACAAATGTCCTGGGGATATGTTTGAGGGCATCTTGTGCTCATTCATACACATGTATTTAAGGAGAGGGGTTGTACAACTAGTGGCCCCAGGTCTATGGTAGGCTCCTCACGCCTTCCTCAGATTCCTATCAAAAGTTGCCTGAAGATTGTCATTTTGAATGTGACAGATGGGGGAAATGATTACATATATGGGAAGTCATTGTATTAATTCCAGTTACTTAACTGTTTTTTGTTTGTATTACAGTTAATTAATCAATTGAATTCAAGCAAATGTGATTTTTATCGTGGCCCAGCCCACCTCCTCCCAGGTTTTCAAGAGCAGACTTACTGTAGTTCAGGTCTCGACTCTCTGTAAACTACTATCGCATTTGCCTTCCTGAGAACTGGTTAATGCCCTGGATATTTATTCCAACAGGGAGCTACAGAAACAGCTCCCTATAAGAAAGAGGCATCTCTTTGGAGATGAAAAGGCATATTGACTTGGTGATAGACTAAAGGAGTTGAATAGGTTTGTGGTACAACTATTTCATGTTTTGCCCAAGTCCTGGCTGTTGGTTTGTATTGTGTGTTCTTCATTTTCTCCTTGCACTTTATAGTTCCCCAATTTCATCACATGATCATGGTTTGTTAGTGTTGTTTTAATGGTGATGATTCCATCCCCTTTATAATAAACAGTATCTATCATCCACCTTCAGTCCTTCAGATGAGCTCAAATCCCAACAGATAACGCATACACGAAAAAAGCATCATTAATTATGTAACTGTTTTCCTGTGGGTCTACAGATTCTGAGATGTAAAGTCTGCACATATGTTTACATGGGGGGGGGGAAGTATTCTGAGATAATGAGAAATCCCCCAAATAACCATGTGGGAGTAAATACTAGTGTAAACAATTTCTCTCCCAGGTTAACTATGGATCATTCCATGGCTGGGGGATGGGAGAGGATGTGCAGTTTCAGGGGAAAAAAAATTAAACTAGCTGGCTGTAGTGTGCCAGAAAGAAAAGTAGGCACACATTATCCTTTCACTGACAGAAAACACTGTGCTAGAAGCAACCCAATACCACTCCTATATGAGGCCATTTTAAAAATTCCAAACAAACATGAATTTGAAAAAAATGAGATCAAAGTTGCAAATTATTGAGTTAGCACAACTTTTTCTGGGAAGAATTATTAACTGAAATTTAACCCATATCCTCCTTTTTCCTAGGAAGTTATTGTTTTTATTTTTGAAGTATCTCTTACATCTCTATTCTTTACTCATTCCCATTAAAATCTATATCATGTACAATGAGAAACAGAATCAGTCAATTACAGGCAATTTTGGAAATTGTCTGGATTCTTCCCCCTGCTTCTCCACCATGAGCTCCCCATCATGATGATGGATATGGAGAAAGCAAAATAATTCAGTTAAATTCATACTGGTGGGGAAAATCATCCTGCCAGGGGAGTTTTCCCTAACAATGATCCTAGTAACATTGACTGCTGGAAGCCCTTTCTATAAGAACTTAATAAAAATGTTTACTGTGAGCAAAGCAGCTCAGGGAAAGCATCGGAGTTGCTGCTTATGGAAAGGAGAAACCAAGGACTTGCTGCTGAATTTTGTCTTGCGCAGAGCTGGAGCCAATGGAAAATGAAGGATATGTCTTATAAATAATGGAGAGGTTGTTTTCTTCTTCCCTGAAATATGATATGCAAGGAAAGGAAGGAAGGCAAAAACCCCTCCCCTATTGATTTAGTTTCCATAGGATTGCTTTAAATTCCCTGTTGCTCATGTGGGAACAGTAGGAAAGTAGGCCTGTGATTCTGTACTCATCAGCTAAGAGTAAGAGTCACTGAACTCAGTAAGACTTATGCAATTATAAAAGGTTGTTATTGCATGCCAATAGTTATAACAATAGTATTGCTAAGAATAGTCATATAGTACATCATGATGGATTTGCTAGCCACCTCTGGTGGTGGTGGTTAGTTTGTTTTTAACCTTGCTGATTAATATACAACTTGCATATCTCTACTCAGAAGTAATTTTCCTTAAGTTTAGCAGAGCTTATTCTACATGGAATTTGGAGCCTAAGTTGTGTATAAAAATAAACCATCTTGTTTCATTCCCTCTACAAAGAGGAAATGATGCTCAGATAAGCTCCTGCTAGTAACAATAGAAGGAAATGAACTCACACCCAGATCCTTCTAGTAAGGCATATAGGGGGGAAAAATAGAATTCTTTTGGGGTTACACCCTTTTAATATGTGTGCAGGCATAATCTGGATCTCATTCAACACCCAAGTGTTCATTGGTCCCTACGTATTCTTGTCATGAACATTTCTGCCCTGCTCCTACTTCTGTCCATTTGATGGGCAGAAAAGAAGTGATCACATGAAGGGAGAAAACAATTGAAGAAAAGTAGGCCTAGCAAAAAGCCATCCCTCAAAATCAAGAAGGGAAAAAAGAGTGGAAGAGAGGGAATCTGGGAAGAAATTAGAAGATACATTAAGAACTAAACTTCTTTACCAAAGAAGTTTGGGTTTTACAAATAGATACTTGCCTGTAAATTCCCTTCCCCAGATTTCTAGCAATGCCTCAATGGCACTGCCTCATCAAACAGGAAATTTCAGAAATATCAAATCTATCGGACAGCTGTGGAATTAAACCAGAGGTCACTGGTTTTTCCTCCATTTTTTAATGTCTCCTCTGTCCTAGTGAGGCCACACTGGCTAAAATACTCCTAGGTTAAATAGGCATTATGGATGCTCTTTACTTTTTAACAACCTCCCACTCTCCAGACATGTTTTTGGGACCTAATTCCCATTGAAATGAATAGGGAGAAACTCATTGCCTGCAGTGGAAATCAGGTCCTTCTTGCATAATTGCTGGGGGAGGGGGGGGCATTGAGAGGGTATGATGAGGTTGGTTCATACTAGGTACATCTTTGGTGGGTGCTTGTATTATATTTATAAGGACTTCACCAATCCTGTAGAAGCATTACATAAGACCAAGCATTCCATTATTCTTGTTTAACTAAATGGAATACATTTGTTTCTTGACATGGAGACAGTGCTTGTTTTCATTCTGAGATACAGAAAGGAAATCTTTTAAAGGCATGTTGGAGTCATTTGTGACTAATGTGCAATGATACCATAAGCAGCTTATCTTGTCTTCCGATCCCTCACTGCTCTTCGACATCATAGTTTAATTTCAACTCTGTGTATAAAGTTGGTACAATATATTACCTGCACTATATTTTAGTGTGCATGGATACTTGGTTACAATTAAAGAACATTAATTAGTTGTTGCAGACACATGTTTTCTGTTTCCACGAGAGTACAGAACAGAAATTGTTTGAAACAACAAGGAAAGCTAAAGGCAGACTCAGCCTCAGGTTCCCAAGTGCAAGCTCGAAGAGGTTCTTGAACAAAGAGAGAGTTCTGGCCATCAACATTGACTATTGCAATTGACCCTTTCTTGCTGCAAATATACCAGCTGGAGAGGAAGACTGGTGAATACAGATGTGTGGGTCCACTGGCACCAAACTAATCAGTAGAGGAAAAATCTAATTATAGTGTGATTAAAAAAAACCCAAAACAACTGATTAAAACATTGTGCCATTTTTCCAATGAGGTCTTTGCACATTGACTTTCCAAACCTTAAAAGTCAAAGAAGCAAAAGAATCATCTGTGAGGATCTCTTTATTGCTTCTAACTTAGTGAACATGATAAAGTGTGAGCTTCAAGGAATGAATCATGTAAACTGTTGTAGCTACAAGCATAGCGAACTCTCCTCCCAAAAAACGGTGCTAAAAATATATAGGAAGAGCCATTTAGATTAGGAACAATCAATCTCTAACAAGAGTTTCAAAGAACTCTTTTTCTCTAATCCCCCTTCCTGAGCAGTAAAATGCAGACACAGATCATGCCAACTTTGCAGAACAAATTCATAAACATCATGCACAACTAAATGGTCTGGGGAGAGAGAAAGAGAGGAGAAAGGGCAACTTACCTTCCTGACCCCATTAAAGCCGTATTCTGCAGCAAGTTGCTTGGCTTCTGCTTCTCCCCCCTTGTGAAACTCAACGAAAAAATGATTGGTGTAGGTGGTCCTTTGAGATGCAGAGGCAAAACGAAGGAACCCCAGTAAAAAGAGGCCAGCTATCTTGCAGCATGGAACAGTGCCTGTCTTCATGGCTTTTTTCGGACAGGGAGTGCAAGGCAATGTTCGTGGGCTCGATAACGGGAATAAAGATGAGCAAAGGAGAACACGGATACTGTAGGCTGAGGTGGACGGGGGACCGGTGAGCCGGCAAGCTGCAGACAACCAGTTAAGCGGTGCTCCGCTTTAGTGTCTCTCAGCCGCGAGAAGAGGGGAATCCGATGGGCTGGCAGCTCGCGGAATTATTCCGATGGGTGCGTGTGCGTGTGATGCCAGATCTGCATTTTTCAGCTCCTCCTCATCTATAATACAGCGCGACGGCGAAAAGAAAGCGAAGTGAGGCCGCAGGGCTGCCAATCACTTGGAGGCAAGAGAGAGGGCGATCCTCCTTCTGCCTCGTAGCAGGACGCCCTCTTCAGCTGGCTGGGGCGGGGGGGCGGGGAGGGAGAATGGCTTGCGCGGAGCAGAGGCAAGCCTGGCCGCGCTTAACTGATTCAGCACCCTGGAGAATTCCTCCATTTCTCAAAGCGGGAGCGAAGCAGAGGAAAAGTCCGGGAGGGAGGAGAAGAGGGAGCTCCTCCAATCCGCGGCCGACTTCTCTGGATTTTGTGGAACTAGAGGCAAGGCTGAAAGGCGAGACGCCCGGTCCGTCCACATCCCCCGGAGGGCTGCCGGCCCCATGATCAGGAACACATTCCTCCAGGATTCCTACTACCTCCTGAAATCACATGCTCGTTTGGCTCCCCGCTTAGATGTATCTGAAATTCGGCTCTGTTAGCAGCTTTCTTACCTTTAGAAGTGTAGGTTGCTTTCGCAGTTCATCAGCTGCAGGATTACAGATAAAAATAATGCATAACTGATTCATCGTTATCATCATTTGAAATTCCCCTTAGCTGCCTTGAGGGAAACGCATTTGTAAATCAAAACAGGGAAACAATTATTCATTGGTCTGTTAAGCCTAGATTTTAAAAGGAGTCAACGCATTTCACTTTTTGCTCATCTCAGCGGTTCTCTGAACGTATAAAGCATCTGATGCTTTGATTCTCCCTCTAACTCACTAGAATTTAAGAATTTAGAAAAAGAATTTAAGGAGGTATCTGACGTGAGACTAGTGAGTGGGAGAGAGAATTGGCTAACTTTTTTATTCTTCTGGATTTTTTTCTTTTTCTTTCTTTTTTCTTTTTTCTTTTTTTGTAGGAACTTAGTCTGGGCTTTCCACAGATCCACTATTTAATCTAAGGCTTTCTTTCTCTCTCTCTCTCTCTGTCTATCATCTGGAGCCATTGGGTTAGTGAATTGGAAGCTGGAGAATTGACCAGATTCCTCCTCCTCCTCCTCCTCCTCCTCCTCCTCCTCCTCCTCCTCCTCCTTTCAGATGACTTGCAGAGAATCAGACAATATTGGTCTCTATCAAGTGCTTCAGATGTGAAATTGAGACCAAGAGATGGTTCAGCAGCCATTGGATCAGTCCTATCAGTAGGCAGACCTCAGAGATTGATGGAGATTGCTGTGGGAAACAATGAGTGATCTCTAAGCCCTCTGGCTATTCTTTCCTGTTGGAGGACAAGGCTGTGTATGCTTCACAACATTATAGAAACTCCTTAAACTACTCTGCTGTGGCAACTATTGTCCCATTGCTAGTGTCTCAGAAACATTCAACTCCCATGTTCTCATTATGTTCTGTATGCACAATTGGAGGGGTGGAGCACGTGGCTAGAGCTTTTCCAAACAGCTTATCATAGACATTGAAAGAGCTATTTTACAAAAGCTTATTCCTCAGCAAGCATTTCAGTAGATTATTTCCTGAGATCATTGAATTATTTTAATATGTCACCCAAGTGGGGAAATGAGTCCAGGTCCAATTTATTTTCACTGTTGTGAACATATTTAGAATTCAAATATATCCAAAGGATTTATTGTTTCCCCTACTGTTTAGCCAAAATGATCCCCATGGCAGTTTAAAATGATCAGGATCGGTAGAAAGATAGTCCTGTCCTCAGGTTTATAAAATAAAAGACATGATCAGCTCAGCTAAGATGTAAACAGTTCAGCTAGCTTGAGGAAATGGCTGCAAATAGATGATGGTGGAGGGACAGGCAGGAGCATATCCTTCCTCTCTCGGGTTTCCTAGCTAGCCAGCAATTTGCAACTGAGTAGTATAAAAATCAGGCTTAAGGTTCATGGATGCAAGCATGTGACTGTCAGAAAAAGCTCAGCCTAAAAATATTTAAAAGCCCAAATGCAAGTATCCATAACACATGCTGATCCTTTCCAAATATGGAGGACAAGAGAGAAAAAAATGAGACCAGGAATTTCTAGCTTAGTTTATTAACAAATCCTTGAATGATTAGTCCTCAGTTAAATGTAAAAGGCACATATTTCTACAGTTTCTTCAATATGATTTAACTGTAATGCATTGCCATTAAGATACTTGCACCCAGCTCTGCATCAGCATCATAGATGGGGGAATGTAAAGAGTTACAGACCCAACACTGAATACAAAACCAAAAGTGGCAAGTTAGGGCTGGTTAGTTTGATTTTACCCCTGGACACTTAATTCCTGTTCATTCAGTGGGAAATAATCACGGCTACATCTAGGACTGCATCCAGAACCAATTCAAAGTGGGGACATTTCTGAAGGAAACAAGCCCAGTGTTCAAGCCACTCATTTTTATCTTTTCTCAAGTATATGCAGATATTGAAAAATAGGGAAGTATTATTTCAAGTTACAGCCTTGGCTTTTTAATAAACTGTAACCCTCAAGGGAATTTAGAAAGATAATTTGAATCTGGGGTCAGAATCTTGAGCATATCAAGACAGGACAATCTCAATCTCTCTCTCTGTCTCTTTCTCTGTATGTGTGTGTGTCTGTGTATGTGTGGGAGAGAGAGAGAGAATTGCATGTGCCAGTCACACTCTCTCACCTTAACCTACTTCACAGGGATGGGGTGGGGAAAAGTTGGAAGAGGGAGTTCCATGTACATTGTTTTTTTGCTCCTGGGGGAAAGGTGTAAATAAATAAATAAATACATACATACATACATACATACATACACACACACAATGGCCAAATATGCAGGTGGCAAGAGAATGTTTTAGTGATATTGCTAAATGCAGTTAAAGCTTTGTTATCTTGGACAAGAAGATACTGGAGAAAAGAAAAGCAAAACAGGAAAGCTAGCATTCAGTCCCTTATACAACTCATCAGGCCTGAAAATATTATACGCCTCCAACTAGACTCAATGGAATGTGTGAAACAGATTTCACTAGGCAATCTCTTTCAGTATGAATTCAGCTGCAAAGAGACATAAACTCCACTGAAAAGAAGTGTTGTTAATTGTTTGGGCCTCCTTACTGATGTTTCACTTGGGCAGAAAGACTATTTCAAGTCAGCTGAGCTCAAGATCCATTCTAAACCACCAATATCACACTATCACTGGTTCTCCAAAGCAAAAACAAAAAACAAAACAAAACCAAAAAAAACCATAAGTGTGTACTTGACATTTTCCCCACGTGCAGATCTCCAGTCTTGCAAATATAATACTATTTTTGGCTCCAAAATGTCTGTCAGTTCAACCTTCCTTTTGCTTCTTTCCTCTGGTCAGATGAAAGGACTTTGAAAAAATGAAGAAGGAAGATAAAAATACTCCAGCAGTCACAACTAGCAGGGAGAGATTGGGGTTGGCTTGAGACAATCCATGGATGTTTGGAGTCAGTGCTGCTATCAGAATTTCAAGGAAGGAAAGGCATGGGCACAATCCAGGTTTTTATGGGGATTGGGTCAACAAGGAAAAAGAGCCACCCTTAACCAGTTGTAAAAATACAAATGAATAGAAATGGAAAACGTAGTTTAAGATTGAAATTAGATGTTTAAAATTAAATTTTGATAAAATAGCCCTATTTTTGAGTCATTTTTAAAATTTTCTTTGAAAATTCTTGACCCAGTTAATTGACAAGTCATTCATATGTAGTTCCAATTTTATTTTTAACC